AAGAGGATGTACGCGTTAGTATTAGACATGGATTCATGGAGGGTCCCACTATGGCATCTATGGCCTATTGCCATTTTTTGACCACATCGTACCCTGGATCGCTGCTTTCAACTGCTTTCAAAAATTAAATATTAAACTAAATTATTTAACATATATATATATTGGGCAACATCGGACCGCACGTGAAGCAAGAGACTCCTGCACGGAGCAGCGCTCAGAAAGATCTGCGTCAAAAGCACGCAGACGACCATCGGGCCAAGCTGCGCAAAGAGTGACGCCGCTGCACGAGGCTTTGGAAGCATTGGTGGAGAATGCCCCAGTGGACGAGGCGAGGTGGGAGTTGGATACGGATCGTGGGAGTTCTGTCCAGCTGGGAAGCCTCTAGCCAAGTATATGTTGTATCATGTTTGATTTATGCTGATTTTGTTGGTATCCATTTGTTGGCCCACTTTGGCCCACCGGGAGCACCTCATCAAATCACCCAAATCCCAAGCAGGCCATGCCTGTAACAGCCGAGCCCTGTCTGTCGCAGGTGCCCATGCTGTTGGAGAGCCTGGACCTGTTACGGAGTGGATCCAAGAGGTGCAAGGGATGAATCATTGCAGCCCCCCAATAGATAGATAGAATTGATATGAATTGATGAATAGACATGAATTGATGGTGCAATACATTCTGAGACTATCAATTCTAGGAGGTTACTAGATGTGGAGATGGCTATTTCACACAAAGGCGCCGCTTAATTACGCAGGCAAATTTTGGCATCCACTCTTGGTTCGAGTGAACTGAAATCACAGGTGGTTGTTCAGAGAACTGTTTGGCAGTTTCTACTACAATAATACACGACCCCTTGGTTTCACCGAGGGTATGTACTTGGAATGACTTGGATGATTCTTTTCTGGAGAGAGCGCCAAGTTGCTCGGGAGAATGAAAGGAGCACAAGAAGAACCATCCACCGGTTCTGAGCCTCTGAACCATTGCCTGGAACCTTGTTTGGGCCATTGCTGATCCCCCCACTTCGGCCCATGTCCTGTTAAAAGCTCTCTCCCAGAGAGGCCAAACAATTGAAAAACTTCAGATCCGGTAGATCCGCTGGCTGAGAGGGCTCTGGGTGGGTGAGACATGATTCCCCAAGGTTTCACCTATTATAGCACCTCTCATGGTGCTCCTTCCTCTCGCATGGGGTCACCCTCTTCCTGCTGACCCGCAGCCATCGTGGGGTCACCGATCCAATCGGTTGGAGTCCCAGGAACTTCCGGGATACCTTCGGCCAGCTGCTCAGAGGTTGGGCCGGTGTCCGGAAAAGCGCCCCTATACTCGCAGCTGTCCACAAGTGGCAGATGTAGGAATCTCATTGCGGCATCACGCGCGTCTGGTATTTGACGACACCAGTTTACCGATTGACACCGGTTTACACCGGTTTACCGATTTACACCGGTTTACACCGGTTTACCGACTGCGCGCAGCATAGGAGAGGTCCATGGCAACAAGGGTTCGGCCCGTCCAAGGCCCAATCAATTAGTTTTGCTTTTACTCTGGTCGTCTAGTATTGTGTCAAGGCCTATGTTCATATCCCATTTCCACCCCCATGTCCATTCAAGCCAATGGTTCCTCAAGATCGTCGATAGTCGGGGTCGTTGTTTTTGCAACCTCGTCGGTCTGTAGTCTTCTGAAGGGTTGTCGGCCATTACGCCGTATAACAAAGACAAACGACACTCAGAGATACTTATATGTACTTATATATATATATTTATGCTAAAGCTGTTGTACACAGATGAGAACCGATGCCCTCTTGATGGCAGCCTTCCCAGAACATCATATGTTTTCGCTTTCGTAGTCACTACACACCGCAAATCGTAAACATCTCTAAACCCAGCAAACCTGTAAACCCGCGTAAACCCGTAAACCCGCGTAAACCCGCGTAAACCCGTAAACCCGCGAACCCGCGTAAACCCGCGTAAACCCGTAAACCCCCGTAAACCCACTGAGGAATCTCATTTTCATCATACTTCATCCAGTCTTTCCAGAGATGTCGAAAGTAGCAAGCTCAGCGACTGCAGAGGAAGGCGATTGGTGAAACATCTATGTGAGAATGTGGCAGGATACTCAAGTATCCCATCTATCCAAGATACTGGTAAACCGGTATACCTTCTACGTGAAATGGGGAACGTAACATTTGAGGAGGGCCCTTTTTTGGGTGGCTGTTGGTCCTTGCATAGTTCGCGGTGGCACCGGAGATCCAGAGGTTGTGATTCCGGTGCTCCCCGGAGTTTCTGGTCAATCCAGGTCCTCAACGCGGTCAATGTGGGCTGCTCATGAACCCCCCTCTATAGTGGAGATATGTGGAGATGTTTTACCATCCAGACTTCCAGAAAAAATAGATTCATCCACCCTCTTCTACACTACATATATTCATATACTCAATCGTTACATGCTGGGGGTGATGATTCATCAACCGTCTACATGAAGAGCACCGCCCCGCGGCTCGCGCCCGCGCTCCCGTATCGCAGGCAGCGCTGCTTCGGCACGCCAGGGCCGCGGCGCTGCGCTATGCTGGGCTTCTGCAACCAGCGCCTTGCTGCGGCGCAGCGGCGCACAGCAGCAGGCGCTGGTTGAAGCGCCATGTTTTTGGTTTTTGATGTTCTTTGGCGGCGTATCCAGACTGTGTGCCTGTTTGCAGCAGAAAGGCGTTAGCATTTGATGAACTAGTTTGACCCCAGCTCCTTGTTTTGGAATGATCGTCTTCGGGTTGTTTTACATTTGTATGTTAAATCAAGTCCCTGTAAGGTTTCAAACTGTGTGTTTAAGTGATCGCCCGGCGACACTTACCCAGCATTTCTTGCCTAATTAAGCTGACTTCGCTATTATTGATTGCTCCGTTTGGGAATGTTGTTTTTTTTACATCCCCTTTACTAGTAGAAGATCGTTTCATGCGTGTCATCAGCGCGCTCCATCCACGCGTCATGCGCCCTCAGACTGCACCGAGGCGGCGGCCTTCCTGGAAGCCTTGCTGAATGCCCTGGACCAAGAAGCGCCGGTGGGACCCTTTGTGCCCTTGGCCTTTCGCGTCCTGGCGCCTGTGAAGGCGGGGCTTCCGTCTTGTTTGATGACTTCGTCAAGCCGACAAAAGGGGTTTGAGGGGCACATGGCCGTGGATGTTGTGGTAGGATATGGTAAGATTCTGTGTTGTTCAACCCTTTATGCTTTGGTTTGAGGAGGTCCTGCATCGAATCTTCTCATGACTTTCAATTGGTTGCTGCTTGTCTTCCAGGAATTTGTGTATTGTAGGTTTTTAAATGCCGGTAGATCTTTCGGTAGGGTTGTTTGATATCGTCCATCGGTTGTTGGCCACGATTTCCTCGTCCTCTTCAACCTGTTCTATGGAAAGTCCGGATGCCCAGCAACCGGAATCTAAAGCGAGCAGAGAAGGGAGCCGTGCACTGCACTAGCTCAAATATGACAATAAATCTGAGCTCAGTTGAGAAACAATTGCGAATGACAGACAGTTTTTGCACTCTGCTGCAGATTCTACATAGGTGGAGAGTGTGTTGAGTATATAATATGTTGCCAGTTGCCAGGTTGTTTCTACTGGGTGGGTCCCTATTGCTCAAGCACCTGGAGCTTGTGAAGCTTGGGATCAGTTAGTTGCTCTGGAGGAAGCGTACCGCGAAGCATGGGTGCCGGGAGGTTCTCCAAGTTCTCCCAAGAGCACAATTACACAGTTCTCCTGCTTGGACAAACGGGCTGGGGTAAGACCTCTCTATTGAACCTCATTGCCAACATGAAGCGGGTGACGCGCCTCCACCGTGACGACGAGGAGGTCTTGTCAGGAGAGGAGCTTAAAGCCTTCGGGGAAGGGCGTGTGACTGACCTTAATGTGGAAAATGCTTTGGACGACCCCATGGCCAGCAAAACGTCTGATGCCAGAGTCTACCAGCTTCAGTTGTGCCGAAACTGGTTCATGACCATGATAGACACTCCAGGTTTTGGTGACTCAAGAGGAATCGATGTGGACAAAGAGCATGTCAAACGCATTATGGCTTGCCTGGGGGAGAAAGTACAATCGATCAATTGTGTTATGATTGTGGCCAATGGGCGAGAGTCTCGAATGACTGCTACCTTGGAGTATGTCATCAGGCAGCTCACATCGGTCATGCCCCAAGCTGTCATGAAACACATTGTGGTCGTTTTCACCAACACTGAAAACAAGAGGAAACTGAACTTCAAGGTCAAGTGCTTTGAAGAGCTTGGCCCATTCCGAAGTTTGAGTGCATTGAGAACCCATTTGGCATGGTCCAGGATATCATGCGTGCCATTTCAGAATCATCAGAACCAGATCTTGAAGAAGACCAACAGAAGGAGATATCAGGAGAGATACGAGCTAGCCTGGTAGCGATGGAAAAGATTGGCTGGCTCATTCACGATTTGCCTGCAGTTGAACCTCTCAAGCTTCTCATGTTGTTTTCAACCGGTTTTCAGCTTCTTTTTGTTTGACATCCCAGACAGGAGCAATCTCCACATGAAATAGTTCTATGTTGTGGATTTCTGTACTGGGAAAACCTAAGTTCATCCAAGGTTTCGAGAGCTGAATGATCAACGGGAGAAGATCGAAAGGCTTAGAGCTCATAGTCGAGCATGATCGTCTTGTTGCAGACTTGCAGCACCACCGTCAACAAATTGCCTCCAGCGGTGTGGCGTCTACACTGAGAAGAGCCGTTCACCGTTGGCGGCTTGAAAAAGATAAGTTTTCGTGGTCGAATATGTGTGTCATGCGGCTGGTTGCCACTGCAATTGTAAGACATCGGAAGTATTCAGCCCGTTTGCCAGCCTGTGGTGCTTCTTCAATGAGAAAGCCGTTTGTTCAACTTGCAACCACACGTATGCGGCACACAGAGTGTCTCGTGATGGCTGGGCATGCGAAGAGATAATGGAGTCACTCGACTTCGGCAACAGTGTGGCTGAGGCAGAGCAACGATTGAACAAAGAAATTGAAGATGCAACAGCACAAAAGCTGCGTCTAGCAGAGGAGCATGAGGAGCTGGACCAAGCCTTAGAAGACTATTCACATTTAGGTCTTCGCAATGCATACAAGCATCTCCTTCTAAGCCAGAAAGCGGTTCTACAAGAGCGATTGGAAACCAAGCCAGATGATGCAACTTTGAAGCAAGTCTTGAGAACCGTTTTGGAAAGTCTGAAGGTGGTTGAAGAGGCAGCAGAAGCCAAATGCTGCATTTGCTACACAAATCCTGCAGACACGGTGCTCCTTCCTTGTGAACACAAGCAGTTCTGTGAAGACTGTGCTGGGTCTGTTGGAACGTGCCCATTGTGCAGAGAGCTCGTTCAATGCCGCATTCCTCTTGCTACCTTCAGTGCAGGCTCTGGCGGCTACAGGGCTGAAATTTAAGACCTCGGTGCTAGTGCCACACTGGTATGATAAGTATGTCTATGTATTATATCGTATGTAAAAATAGATAACAACTAAAAATAAGAACAATGACAAGAAGCAACAAAAACATTGATACACCATGCAACAGCTTGTGAACCGTTGATCCATGATGTTTGTGCGCTCAGATATTTGTTTGGTTATGATATGGATCCTGCTTTACAATGTGTGAATGTACGCAAGGATACTCATTCATATTGGATGTTATGATAGGAGGAGGTGTGGCCAACCTCCAGCAGACTTACCAGCAGAGAGAAGTGCAGTCCAGGCGATTGTTTTCTTGTCATATATACTGTATACATTAGGAAATCATAGAGGGGCTGTCTCATGAATATGACCTCCACAATTGGATTGCCAACCACGCGTGTACAGATTCAAGCATGGTGCATTTCAAAGCACGATTGGTCAAGCAGCACCTCTGAAGAATCATTGTTTGGGCATCATCTCACCTGTGAACAATGTTCTGTTGGAGTTGAGCTTGACCAAGCATGTGGCACGAGACCAAGTGTTTATGATGCACCGTGCCACCCCCATGGGAAGCTTCCTTTCACCTGGAGGCGGCAAAGTCGTGCCTTAATGTGAGAAAGCACCTCCAGGTGAACCAAAGACAAACAGCACCCGCCTGAGCCAAAGCGGGAGAATCATCCAGCAATGTGTTACTACGTACCGTATATTACTTAACTATGTATACGTATTATGTTGCCCAGGATGGTGAAAGCGAGAGAGAGGCTTTATATAGTTGGAGAATATGTTTGGAGGAAACGTTTGCTCGAACAGAAATAACTCCCCGTGTGATACCCAATTCCCTGCAAGATAACAAACAGAATGCCAGAAGCAAGGCCACTGATCTCACTGTCAAGACGAAGTGGGTGTTACTTGTCAACCTGCGAGTCGCAAGATTTGGAAAAGGGCGTGTACTGCTTGCATTTGCCTATTTCATTTGTTGTTTGAATTGACATTTGGATCGAAATGACACGCATTGTGATTCCTGAAGTTTTGCACTTTGCATTGCATGTTCTCCCAGCCGGGCCTAAGGCTTGGAAGATGGCGTGGTCTTCGCCGGCCACGGCCGGGGGGGTTCGTTCACACACGTGCGCCCTGGAAACGTGCACCAGGTCGTCAAGATACGTTTGCTTCAACCAACAATGCTTTCTGTAACAACGGAGCTGAGCCCCGGGCACGCCTGGGACACAGGGGTTCCAACTCGTGTTGAGGTGGAGGCAGCGAAAGGTGCGCGGGCTGCTTGGAGGAGGGGGAGTGTCAAGTGCCGGATGGGTGCTTGCAGCACAAACAAGGTCATCTTTGACTCTGTCTTCGGGAACTTGGCCCTCTCTCCACAACGGCACCTACCTATACATGCACCAAAAGACTTGGGTATGGGAGATTATTGGAGACGTGGGCTTGGAACCAAGAAAGCTTGTTGGCCCTGTTTGTTAGGGGAAACTCCAAGTCATCCTGAAGTCATGTGTACCAACAGCATTGCCCCAGACCGCGGATCGGCCACACGAAACTGGCCGGCATGGTTTTGTGAAGTAGGGACCTGAGCTCCAAATTGGTTTTAAATCCACAGAAAGAGCCAGGGGACTGCTTCATGACGAGGTCCATGCACTGCGCCGCGTTGCGTTCCCTTTTGGATGCACCGCTGGCTGTTTGGAAGATCCCATGCAGTCGTCGAGGGATGGCACAACGCCCAAGAGGTGAGTTATGTGGACCGGACTTTCCGGCTGCCCAGCTCTTTAATTTAGCAGGAGCTTCAAGGACGTCAAAGGTGTAGCACTGCAGGGCAGGACTTGGTCTCAAGGAAGGACTCCATCAAGATCCAGCCGTGCGGAGCAACATCAACATTTGCCCATATGCACATTCGGTGCCTCGCCGCTGAGGCCAAGTTGCCGCCCTTGGCACTGCAGCAGTGGCATGAAGCAGAGAGTCGGTCCTGCTGGTGAAAGAAGGGACGACAAGCCCACCAAAGGCCAAGGTTTGCCACAAAGCAAATGCTTCCACTGTAGGAGCAGAGTACAATGATTTGATATGATTGTATGGGTTTGGTGGAAGTCTTTGTGGCCTGAATTGGGGCTGTTTAGATTCATTTTTTTTGAGTGACCTTGTGGCCTGGGGTCCCCGCCCTTCGATTCCTGCCTGGTCCATTGTCGTTCGGGGCTGCGTTGGCAGTTGCTGGTGGGCATGAAAGTTGGTTTCAACTTCAATTGGGAACTTTTGGGCTCAACAGCTTATCAGATACCTCGGGGTGGCGGCAGATGATGTGATTTCACTATGGAGTGTGTCACAACCAGCCTGCCGAGTGCACACTCTATTGTAGCCTCCAATGGACTACACTACTCTCCAATGGACTACTTTCGTCCACTCCCCCCTCAAGTTGGCAGGCACCACCACTGATCCCACCACCCACCACCGCCCCCTCCGCATCAACGGCCTGCATCTCGTGGAAAACACCATCGTATTTTGTACATGGTTCCACATGTGCAAGTGTGTCCAAACGGCAGACATTCGCAAACGATGCAAAAGCCAAACTCTACATCATACCGAGCTTCGTGTTGCATCACCGGCCACGATGGTCGGGTTCTTAAGGCCTGAAATGGCCTCTTTCAGCTGGCTAAAGCGACCGGGCCCGATCGCTGCGTAGCGACCGTTTCCCAATGGTATAATTACACGTGGTCCACTATCCTTACTTGGTCTCAAAGACAAGTGACAAGATCAGATCCTATCCATCAACAGTAGAACCATGTAGAACCCGAGCACATCCGAGCACAGTTCTTGTTTGCCAGCACAAATCCAGACAAATTCATCAATCCATTGGTTCAACATGTCACTGGTCGCCTTCCCCGCGCCTTCTATCACTCTTCACCCACGCTTCACCCACCCCCTCAGGCTCTCTCGGACCGTCTTGCCGTCGCTGCTGTCCAGAGCGAAGGCACGGGGGCTCCAGCGGGAGCGGCGACCGTCCGGTGGCCTGAACTCGCCACGGTCCGAAGGGATGTTTCGATGGTACATGATGGCAGGTGCCGTTTTCGGGAGCCGGTCACTGAGTGGGAAGAGTGGCCGGATCAGGTTGGCCCACCTCTCGCATGTCAAAGAACGCTTGGCTTTTGGCACAGAATCTTGTCAAGGGACCAGCTAAAGGGGATACAAGGGGATCAATTTGAATGGCGGAATGATGCGGAATGTCATTTCTGCCGCCCATACTCCAAGTAGGTCTTGCCGTCCTTGCCCCCCTCTTGCCCCCCTCCTTTGCATCAGCCAGCTTTCTCCCGCAGGCCTTGGAAAGCCAACCCTGGGCCAGACGTGCAGCCCTTGAGAGCGCTGTGGCCCTACTGGCTGGTCTCTCCCCCGAGGCGGGTCTCGGCACTGAGTGCCGATCGATTGGTAGACCACCAGTGCCGATGAACGCCGAGTGTTCGCGTGGCGGCCACGCCGCGTGGTGAAGCCGACCAGGTGGGACACGGTGGGACGTAGCGACCTATGGCAGTCGTCGCCTCTCACTTGTGGTTGCTCTTCCTGGATTTCTTGTTTGATCTCGGGTTCGAGACATGTAGAGACATGTAGAGACTAGACTAGACTTCGCGCTCCGACCATACTATCACTTGAACGCCTTATTCATGGAACCCATTTCATGTTGCCAATTCTTGTGCACTCTTGGTGAACTCGCAGGTTGCATCTACGGATTGTAGAAGCTCGGCAGCAGAGAGAGTCTTGGGACTGAACAAGCACAACAATTCAGTTTAACCTTTGCCGTAATTGAGGATGAATCAGTGCATTTGTTACGAGGAGAGTGTAGGCGGTTGTTCTACTCAAGGTTGCTGTTTCTTCGAATTGCATGCATGCACATTTGGTCACATACAAGGTGAAGAACTTCGCTTTTGCACCCTCCGGGGGAGATCGCTGGATCGCGATTGAAGGGGGCTTTGTTGGGCGAGCGCATATTCCGCAGAGGTTTGTTATGTTGACATATGTTGACTGAAAATGTTTAATTATTTCAGCCAAGCCAAGCTCCCATCAGAATGTTCTTAATTACCTCTCAGCCTCTCTCTCTCTATTACATAGTAGGTTTTCTAGGTTTTATGAATCAACAGTCAACAATACAAAGTCTATGTTTGCGCTAGAGTGGGAGGTCATTCTTCGACATTTTGGAGAAGACCTGCCGACAGAAGTCTTTGTGGTGGAGCTGATTTTGTATTGGAGCTGGATCATTGCAAGATTGTGACTGGTTACATTGTGGGTTTGTGGAGTCTGAATGAAACACATGCAGAGGCAGTGTTTAAATCAAGTCCTGAGATTCAATATGATTCAAGATTCCACTCAACTACTGCTCAATGGAACCACCCGGCACCACTAGCATTCTGCCTGCTTTCGTGAGCTTTTACCATTACCCCCGTGCTTTTGTGACCGACCCCTCCGTGCCGACCCCTCCGTGCCACGGATTCCGTGGGCTGGACCTGACCCTTCAGGTACCTTGACCTCGCTGAAGCGGCTCAAGGAGGAAGCGGAGGCACCGACCGGTGAGGTCCCAAATCCCTGGACCTGGACCGGATGGTATGCGATGGTATGAGCGGACCTGGAGTCTTTGACCTGTGATTCATGTGGACGTGGTAGTTTGTTCAACATGGGTTGGTGGAATGTCCAAGTGGTCAAAAACTGCCAGCGCTCGCTTGTCTTTCCAGACGCGACAAGCTGTGCTCCAGACGGTTGCAGCTTGAGAAGGGGGTCGGGAGAACAGATTGGCACCTGGTAGAACAAACATATGGTGTGAAGAAGTATGGACCCTATGCGAATTCAGAAGGTGCCCAGTAAGGTGGCTAACTGTGGCGTACAATCCCAACTTTTCATAACAAGCAATGAGTAGCCAGAGCCACTAACTAAACTAGCAAGGAACCATGGAATATGCGTTTGATGGCACCGGGTGGCGTCGCTTCACGAAAATAATCCTGAGGATAGCTACGACACGGATGATGTGCATTGTCCAGTCCAGAAATTTGACTCCTGAATTCACAATTTCAATCACCATCAATCGGCCCATCTCCCTACTGCCCCCACAGAACCCAAACCAACCCAAGGCTTCCAGTTCCTGAAAAATACTCTTGAACGCGGTGGTTTTGATACTGTGTGATGCTCCTCATGCAGTTGGTATGCTCTCCCTCCACACCTGCCACCCACACCCACCTTCCGTAGGCCTCTGTCTTTGGAGCGCAAGTCTTGTTCGGGACCCCCAGTGCATGCGTTAAAAAGCCGGGCGTGGAGGAGGGAATTTCAGGGGCGTTCCCAACAGCTGCTTGGGCTTGGCGGGTCAAGCCGGCGGGCAGATGATTCGCCACCTGCCTTTACCCATCGGGGGAGGGGAGGATGGACTTGTTGATGCCAGCTGGGAGCCAGCAGCCAGTTGATGCCAATTGTCTCCTGAATCCTGATCTCATGAGGGTCAGATGGGCTGGTTCAGTATTCTTATATCCTAGCCTTCAAAGACCATCAGAGGAATGGTTGACCTGGTGGTGTAGCGAAAAAGTCCTCAGTACAATGGTTTCTTGACAGGTGTTTCTTCGATTCCTAGGGTGTTTGGGTTGAGGGAAAGCTCGTCGGGTGCGCTCGTCGTCCGTGAGACACGCAACTCTCCCGTCGTTCGACCTTCCCGGTGGCCCCTCTAGGGCGTCATGTTCTTCAAGAGGAAGCCTTTTGGAGCCCTCTCATGTTCACATGTACTACAAGGGTTCATTTGGAATTCATGCAGCAGAGACTACATGTTAACATGATCAGTTACATGATCTAACAGGGCTTTCTCATCCTTTACTTGAAGGGAACGTGATTGAATCCACCATTTGGGGTTGGAACTTGTTGCATTCTTACGGCAGGCAGCTATTGGTGCGAGCTATTCAGAAGAAGCAGCCGGAAGCTGAACTGGATGTTCGACGAGTTTAAACTGAGCGTGACTCGAGTTCGGCAATTGCACATGCACAAGAATACGGATCCAATTATTCTATGCTCTTATAAACCAAGAACTGCCTAATCGCAAGGATCCTGCTGATGAGGTTTTCAACATGTTTGTCCAAATCACTTGTTCAACATAGCCAAGCTGTTCTACCCCAAAAAACCTTTGAATTACCCCTAGCTCCTCATATTGCATTGGATGCTGAATGATTCTCAATCTTTGTCTTCTAAATCAACATCCCCCAGTTTTTCCGGCCATTGCTTACTGGATGCGACCAGAAAATACGTACCGCGTGCAACCACCGCGGAGAAGGGGAAGCCACGGATTCGAGACCGAGGCCTTGGGTGGAGGATGATCTTCATTCGGTCGTCGGGGGCGCCTGGAGGCGGAGGCGGAGGGCTTGCAGGGCCGGAGGTCTCAGGGGTAGCTGCTGATGATGGTCTCAGGTGGGGGACCATGTTTCACATGAGAAGAGAGCTTTTGGGGGGGAGATAGATGGAGATCGATTACCTAGCGCTTCCTGTTTGGGTGTCCGGTGACTTGTAAGCAGTGTAGGGCTGTCCAGCCAGGTAACCCGTACCTGGTGTTTGATTCGACTTGAGCCGCTTGGCCGTGGCTAACCGGTTTTCTTCTTTTGAGGGGGTGACCCCCTTGACTCTGAACCAACTGAAAAGGGCGAATGGGTCAATGAAGTGTTTCTCCCTTCTGGTTCTTCCGGAATACCGTAGTTGCTTGCACTAAGAGTTCTGGGGGCTTGGGCCCCCCCTTATGGGCTTAATCCAAGACAGCCAAACAGCCAGTTCAGCTGAGAAGATGCTTTTGCCACTGTCAATTCGGTGGGAGGCTTTGAGAAACCAGGTCGTGGGAGTTCTGAACAGGAAGCTCCAGTTTTGTGGTTAGAACTCATTAGATGTTGCATGATTTGACGAATATGTAGCTCCAGAACTTCTTATGGAAGCGCCTAGGGCCTAGAGTCGCATCCGAAGGGAGCAGTACTTGTTTTCTGTTTTTGTGCCGGCGTGCCTGTGGTCACAGGCCTCGTCACACGGCCCAAAAGGGCGGGTTTGAAGGCCTGAAGTCGGCGTCGCGCTGACTCAGGTCCTTCCCATTTGTGATCTTTGCAGTAGCCACCGCACACCGCTGGCCGCTGGGTTGGAAGTGGCGTGCCTACCTGCAGCCTGATGCAGAACTGGCAGCAGCTGACCGGTGTAAATACGGAAGAAGCATGTCATGGTTTGGGTTTCGGCATCGTTTGCCGGACAATTTTGGAGAATCCAATCTCACCATGGATTCCGCAAAGCATAACGTGATATGGTTTGGATTGTCCGAACATGATTCCTGTTCAGGGGGTCCACACCTGCCTTCCAAGCACGGGCGTTTCGTGACAATGCTGGTCAGTTCACAGAGGCCCCATACTGATTTGGGTGCTTTGTTGAACATGTTCTATTCTGTCAGGAGCCCCAATTATATACTCGGACAGCTGTTTACAAGTCCTAAATGTGGACAGGCCTTTGTAGAGGGAAAGCCCCGGCATTGTCCCAACATGATCAGCACTGACGAACTCTGTTTTTTGGGCACGCCAGAGGGAGGGCGTGTGAGTTCCAGACAAGCCACCTCATAAGTGCTTAGGAACAGCAGGGAACAGCTGTACAGAATCCTAGCGACTAGAGTGACCCCCAAGTTGGAGCACGTAAGTCCCCGCCTTTAGACAACTGGATCCACGAAGTTCCTGGAACGATTGGCATTCTCCATCATTCGACCCTAAACATATATGTGTTTTGCAGGGACATGCAGGGACGCAATATATGCTCCCCTTCTTGAGCACACAGAGTGCAAAAATGGCCGGATGGTATCAGCCGGGAGACGCATCAAAAAAGAAATATAAATGCATCAATAAAAAAATATAAATGCATCAAGAAAAAAATAAAAATGCATCAATAAAAAAATAAAGAAAAGAAACAAAGAAAGGCAAGAAGGCAAGGAAGGAAGGAAGGAAGGACGGAAGGAAGGAAGGAAGGAAGGTACGAAGCCAGGACGGAAGGAAGGAAGGAAGGAAGCAAGGAAGCAAGGAAGGATGGATGGAAGGAAGAAAGGCAGCAAGGCAGGAAGGAAGGTTCGCTTTCGGTGGCTCTTGGGTTTTGGTGGCTTTTGCCTTTGGTTTTCGATGGCTTTTGTAGGTGGCCCGCTTGCGGAGCTGTGCTGCCTGCAATGGCAAGTGTTGTCATGTATTCTATGTTAATGCATTGTTTGATGCATCTATGTATTCTATGTTAATGCATTTTTTGATGCATCTCCCAAAAAACACACACAACAACAAGGACCACTTTTGAACTCCTGTTCTATCCCCCATTTGGCCAGCTACTCAGCGAGCCAGCTTACGGACCTGTGCTGCCTGCAGTGGCCAGGAAAGCTGCAAGTTGACTCACCCTTTGTTGCGCCACCCGAGGGTAAAATTTGGAGAAGAATGTTGCCATTTCAACTTGACTCACCCTTTTGCGCACAGGGTAAAATTATGAGAAGGAAGTGGTCACTCCAACTTGACTCATCCTTTTGTGGCCAATGCGGGGTAAAATTTAGAGAGGGAAGCGGCCATGCCGAGTTGACCCACCCTTTTGTGGGCCACGCAGGGGTAAAATTGAGAGAAGGATGTTGCCATTTCAACTTGACTCACCCTTTTGTGGGCCATGCGGGGGAAAAATTTAGAGAAAGATGTTGCCACTTCAACTTGACTCACCCTTTTGTGGGCCATGCAGGGGGATCAATTTAGAGAAGAATGTTGCCCTTCCAAGTTGACTCACCCTTTGGTGAGCCACCCGAGGGTAGAGTTTAGAGAAGGATGTTGCCATTTCAACTTGACTCACCCTTTTGTGGGCAACGCAGGGGTAAATTTTAGAGAAGGAAGTGCTCATTCCAAGTTGACTCACCCCTTGGTGAGCCACTGGAGGTAAAAAATAGAGAAGGAAGTGGCCATTCCAAGTTGACTACACTTTTAAGTGAGCAATGCAGGGGTGAAATTTGGAATACGCAGCAACATTCGGGAAAGGGCCTGTGTGCGCACTTGATTCCCCCCGATGGGGTGTGTGCACGCTGAGTCAACAAGTGTGTGCGCAGATGAGGCACAAGTGCTGATAAAATATGCGGCGCCGCCCTTCTGTGAGCCACCCGAATGTACAGTAGTAAAGTTTAGAGCGCAGAAAGCCATTCCATTCTAGCACGCCAGTAAAATTTTGAAGAGGTGAGGCGACCGTAAGGCCCCGGGTCCTTTGGTCCTCTGTTCCCCTGGCCTCTGGATCTGAACCTCTGCAAGATTTAGTGGGTCTCTAGACTCTACACCTCTACACTCCAGATCTGTCTGGATGTCGAGGCCTTTGGATGTCCAGCTTACGGAGCTGTGCTGCCTGCAGTGGCCAGTGTCGTCAGCGCTGTGCTGCTGGAGGTGGCCAGAGTGTTGTGAGCACTGTGCTGCTGCAGGTGGCCAGCTTACGGACCTGTGCTGCCTGCAGTGGCCAGGAAAGCTGCAAGTTGACTCACCCTTTGTTGCGCCACCCGAGGCTAAAATTTGGAGAAGGATGTTGCCATTTCAACTTGACTCACCCTTTTGTGCACAGGGTAAAATTTTGAGAAGGAAGTGGTCACTCCAACTTGACTCACCCTTTTGTGGCCAATGCAGGGGTAAAATTTAGAGAGGGAAGCGGCCATGCCGAGTTGACTCACCCTTTTGTGGGCCACGCAGGGGTAAAATTTAGAGAAGGATGTTGCCATTTCAACTTGACTCACCCTTTTGTGAGCCACCCGAGGTTAAAAATTAGAGAAGGATGTTGCCATTTCAACTTTTTGTGGGCCATGCAGGGGCAAAATTTAGAGAAGGATGTGGCCCTTCCAAGTTGACTCACCCTTTAGTGAGCCACCCGAGGCTAAAAATTAGAGAAGGATGTTGCCATTTCAACTTGACTCACCCTTTTGTGGGCAGGGTAAAATTTAGAAAAGGAAGAGGTCATTCCAAGTTGACTCACCCTTTGGTGAGCCACTGGAGGGTAAAATTTAGAGAGGGAACTGGCCATGCCAAGTTGACTCACCCTTTTGTGGGCCATGCAGGGGTAAAATTTAGAGAAGGATGTTGCCATTTCACCTTGACTCACCCTTTTGTGGGCCACGCAGGGGAAAAATTTAGAGAAGGATGTTGCCCTTCCAAGTTGACTCACCCTTTGGTGAGCCGCCCGAGGGTAAAATTTAGAGAAGGATGTTGCCATTTCAACTTGACTCACCCTTTGTGGGCAATGCAGGGGCAAAATTTAGAGAAGGAAGTGCTCATTCCAAGTTGACTCACCCCTTGGTGAGCCACTGGAGAGTAACAAAAATAGACAAGGAAGTGGCTATTCCAAGTTGACTACCCTTTTAAGTGAGCAACGCAGGGTGAAATTTGGAATACGCAGCAACATTCGGGAAAGGGCCTGTGTGCGCACTTGACTCCCCATGGTGGGGTGTGCGCACGCTGAGTTAACAAGTGTGTGCGCAGATGAGGCACAAGTGCCGATAAATGTGTGTGCGCAGTTGAGTTGAATCCGTGTGCGCGGCTGCGGCGCCGCCCTTCTGTAAGCCACCCGAATGTACAGTAGTAAAGGTTAGAGGGCAGAAAGCCATTCCATTCTAGCACGCCAGTAAAATTTTGGAAGAGCTGGATCTGAACCTCTGCAAGATTTTGTGGGTCTCTAGACTCTACACCTTTACACTAGATCTGTCTGGATGTCGAGGCCTTTGGATCTTTGTAGATGTAGGCGTCCTGTTCTCAACCGTGACCTCTTGAATCTCCAAAACCTGAAACACCTTATCTTTTGAATTCTTGGCAATTTCGAACCGAACACAGAGGGCAGAGGCCGACCGTTGTGGTGGATAGGTTGGTCTCGACCCAAGGGCCCTACAGGACCATCCAAGGTATCCGTGTAGGTTGATTTAGTTTTTGTTTTTTTTTGATGCGTTTTTGTTTTTCTTTTGATCACTGCTTCGAGTTGGACTATTGCGCTTCCCTCCACTCGTTTGGGTCCGTTTATTTTTTTATTGATTCATTTTTGTTTTTTCTTGATACCCTGAATTATATTTGTTTTTTGATGCATTTTTATTTTTTTTGATCCCTTGCCCTGGTATCAGCCGAGTTCCCAAGGCTCAATGGTGTTTTCCTGAGTGAGTTCATCGATGGTGTCTGGTTGGTGGTTTGGAGCAATTGGTGTTCCATCCCTTTTGAAAAACGGTGATCCCAATCTACTGCTTGGGATTGGTTTTCATGTTGGCCACCAACCCGACTCGAAATGGGTCCATCTCAAACCATCTCAAACCGAGGTGCGACTTGGTTGCTTCCAAGTTCTCATCGCGTTGATCCAACAGGCACAAGACCCGACCTGAATTGGAGTTTTTTGTGTTTGAGATGTTTGCCGGGCCTGGTGTTTGAGGGACGGTTTTTCAAACCCCGATGGATGCAAAATCGCAATGTCACGTCTAATTAAGGCAAGAGGTTGAACAAACCCTGCAGCAGTTTCTTCCTTTTTTGGGCCGATGCGATGCCTCAAAATCAGCTGGTTGCAGCTGGAGAAGCCTCAGAAATCTCAGGTTCCCTGGACATGCAGCAACTTGCCCAGACAAGAATCATTCCGTTCTCCCACTCAATGTCCTCGAGGTTGCACAGGTCTCCACCAAGTCGGCATCAAAGAACCCCCATGGTGCGATGATGCACCTCGCGTGAGCATTGATTTACCCGCTGAACTGTCAGACGTCAGGCCTTTGGGCATTTGGCCCCATACAAGAAGCAGATCGAGGCCAGGGGACGAGTCTGCCAGTTTGCGCAGGTTCTGGACCCGCCGTTGTGTGGTGGGCGGCACATGAATTCCCAAGCACATGGGCCCCTGCACTCAAAAAACAACGTTCCGCCCCTACCCTGCCTTTTTTCCTCCTAGTGGGCTCCCGTGTGGAGATCTCCCCTCACTCGCCTCGGGGACGACGTCATGCCCCGACCGTCCGTCGACCGAGGCGGGCTGCAAACGTGGAGTTGAGGACCGCTGTCGAGAAGTGCGTCTCCTGGCTGTGGCCGCGCTGAACGCCTGGCATTGCCACTTGCACTGAGAAAACGCTGGAGACCGGGAGAGAGAAGGGGGGGCGGGGAAAAAGAAGCAACGGATGAGTGATGTGACCATTCTATGGCAACAAGTGCGGGGGTGAGGACATAGCGAGATCTCAAGATGACGGTAGGACACATCCTGGGAGGCATGTGCTCTGAACATCTGGATACGGTGGAGCAGCTGAGCTCTAGTTATGGAAAAACAAACTCCAGGAGTTCTTGATTCAGCTGGTGGACGGGCTCCTTAGAAAGGTCGTGTATCCAGAAGATGGCTGTACACATGTGGGTTATGAAAGGGTGAATGTAGGAGTTTCATCCATTCACAGATTGAGCAGCTACACTAGTTACGATTAGAATTGGAGGTAGTTGAAAAGCGTGATCATACACTCACAGTGACACTTACCAACAAACGACATTACACACAACCTCAACAACGAAATCACACTCACCAAAGCCTGACGTCCGTTCTATTTCAAGCAGTCCATGAGACTCATGGACCGTTACTCATACACTCAAGCGCACCCTGCTTTCAAGCGTCCAGAGACACGTAGATGTGCACCACATGACAAACCAGCGATCCGCAAGACACTGCTGGGACCTGTTAAGGCCTTGAAATGCCTCAAGGCTTAAGGTGGTTGTCACCCTGCCATACCGCTATACTCCTTTGGTCCATTGACCCACCAAATGCCAGATTCAGTGCCAGATTCTTATATCTTATACACATTTTATATATACCCGTCGTCATACCCCACGCATTCCTACTGTTCAATTACAATTCACCTGCTTGGTCCTGCCCATCCTGCGGTCACGGAATCATGGCACACAGCGCGCAGGTGTTGGTTCGCAATGATGGCGCCTTCAGACCCAACCTCCACGTCCTCCACGTCTCAAAACCCTTTATGTCGCTGCAGCGACCAAAAATGTTGCGCAGCGACCTCTGCATCGGATGGGAATGGGAGGAGGGTTGGGAGCATGAGGTTTGTGGACTCGCACGCGAAAAAGCGGTCGTTCATTGAGACTTAGGTCATCCCAAGGGTTGCTTTGATTCGAGATCAGCATGCAGCGTCATTTGCGGAGAACACCGATACACAGCATAAAAGCTTGCCCCTAACAAGTAGATGCTGCCACAGCTCACTGTCAGTTTCTAGGCCCTCTCTCTCTCTCTCTCGCTATGGGCTCCCACGTGGACCGGCGGGTGTGCAGATTGCGGATTCCGACCTCTTCAAGAAGTTGGCCCGTAAGGGGTGCCAAGCGTTGCGGATTCTCGTTCGAGCCTGTCGACTGGTGGGGCAAGGGCCGAGCCAAGAGGGCCCAGAGGAGGCGGGTGGAAAAACTTCCCGCACCTGGATGGGACGCACTACTGTAACTACTAGTCCCTGGTGCTCAGGAGGGAGCGACGGCTCGTTTCGCTGGGACATCCATATTATTGCTGGTCATATAGCCTATGAATTAAGAAGGAGCCGTTCAAGAGCCCCTCAGAGTTCCCGAGCCCCTTGCTAGGACGGCCCTGGTACTACATCGTGTTTGCGGATTGCGGGTCTTGTTTGCATGTCCTTTATCGACTGTGTCTCAATAGAAACCGTGGCTGACTGTGGATTTTTTTGCTTGTGTTCCGGCCTTCAATGGCCGTATATTGAAAATGATCGAATGATAGAAAGGTGAATCCCTTCATGATTCAGACATATAACATATAACCTTCTAACATGCAGGTGTGACAATGTGTCATCGACTTCTCTGTCAGTATGCAGTGAAAATCTCTCTGATTGACTCTACTCAATTCCCAGCAGTTGGTGTCCCACTTCCTGGGCAGCTCCGGCCAGCACGCCCCTTTCAGCTCCACCGGGAGACCGCCTCACCGCGTCAGATGGGGGGCCTGTTCTTGCCTCGCCTCATCCTCCCCGAGGTTGGACGGCACGAAGGGTGGTCGAGCTCTCGCCGCAAGGCGATCCGCAGAAACATCTCATCATTTGCTGGCACATGTTAAAAACTTGGAACGTTGTTTTATTGTTCGATATTTGTTGGGCTCACTATCAGGGCCGCCTGTGGCTGGCCCTTAGCATGACTAATAGGTCAATGGGGCGCAGGCGCAGGCATCTGCAGGCTGTGAGGGTAATATCATTGCAAGTCAAGTAGCATATCAGCATGATGATTTGATGGAAAGGCTGTATACAGACTTTCATTTGTAATTAGATGTAATTAGCAAAGAATGTCCAAGACGCTGAACTGGAGGCTGATGGGGTTCCTGTACACTTCGTTTAGTGTGCATATGTGTGCATCCATCATCATCCATCCACCACTGGCACCGGGACAATCCACGTCAAGTCTCCAAAACGAGCGTTTCGTATGAGACTTCCTCCAAAAGTGACATTATCAAAGTCTCCAACACGAGTATTTTGTACCAGACTTCCTCCAAAAGTCAAGCAGGAATCTCCATCGAAGCGCGCACATCAAGCAGGACTGCCAAGCAGTTTCGCGATTCCATCCCCCTGAACAGAGTTGCACTCATGACAGTACCAGGACCCTCCAAGGGGTGTCCAATGGACTACCCCACACTACCTATAGGCTTCCATTGGGCACCCCTTGGAGGGTCCTGGTACGTTCCTTTTCATGTTGATATCTTTCACCGCTCAGGTGTGGCGACGATTGGGAACGCCTACGCGAAGGCGCAGCTGCCGGGAGAAAGCGGAAAGGCTGCGGTGCTGATGTTGGTTGGACAGCATGTTTGCGGGAGTCACAGCCATGGTCTCATAGTTGTGATATTTCTTCCATGGATTTGAATATTTAACATTCCGGAAGAAACATCAGGACTATGGACCCGAAGCCTTCCAACATGAAGGCTTGGATGCTTCCCAAGGCTTTTTCATAACATTCCGAAGCCATCCAACACATGAATCGACCATCCAGACATGTCAGCTGTCGTCTTCTTCGTCCCAGGTGCTCTTCGCGGACCCGACCCTCGTGTCGACCCTGCGGGAAGCCATCCGCGGGGGCAGCCGAGCTGTGACTCGATGGGTGCTTCCGGGTTCATGATCATTGACCCGATTGACTTCGGGTTCGGTATTGAGGTGCCCAGTTGGAAAATCTTCTAAAACTTGCTTGATGTTCATTGTGTTTGAGTTTTCAAATGAATTTGTAGAGCGAGAATTGACCTATTTTCAGGATGGAGTTGACCTCCTCCCACTGGCACAGTGGTGAAACCGCTTTACAGTGGTTTCTAGTACATGGCACTGGCACCCCAAGATGACCTTTCGATGCGATGGAGCTCCATCTTTTCACCATCGACCTCGGGGCAAACTTGTGCCATCTATACTCTCTATCCACGACAGACCGGTTCCACAGAGACCTGTTCAGAACGCTGAACCCGCCCAAGCCACGCGCAGCGCAGCTGCTCTGGATGTCCGACAGGTCGGAACCTGTCGGAGTTCAAAGCGCAGCACTTGGCGAACCTGTCGCGTGGCGTAGAATCTGGTGCAGTCGTTAGATCGGTCGAGCTTCTTTTTTAGGGGTCCAAGCTCTATATAGGAGATGTCAAATCTATAGCGGTGTGGCAGATCAGATCATGTGTTTTGGAGTAGCTTTGCTATAGGTCAAAACATGGTCAAAGGAGACAGACATCTCATCTCCTCTCCACCGCCCAAAAGCCGCATTTCTTGTCAAAAAGAAGATGCATCAAGACAAGGCATAAACCCCGTCGTTTTTGGAAGGTGGTGGATGGGCACCGACCCTTCAAGGTCCTCACGGCTGGAAGGACCGTGACCCGTGACTTTCTGATTGCAAGACCAAGAGAGGCTGAGAGACCTGAACTAGGACCCTGTAGTGGTATAGGGCTAGGATGGGATATAGGGCTGTTTTGGGCTATTCAACCTCTCTTGGTACCATCTGAGATGGCACTTGGAGGGCCTTCTGATTGCTCCATAGACTTGGCCCTACCGGTCTACCCACCTATGTGGACCGGTCGTGGCTTCGAGCGGCTCGCGAGGCTCAATGCCTTTGCGCGGCTGGAGCTCGGACTCCCAGATGTGACGACAGGACGAGAATGAGGGATGTGGGGTTTGTCGCAGTAATTAAACCTGAAACAGTCGGTAGAAGGAGGATCAACCATGTTTTTATTTTTAGAAAGGACCATGGAAGTGAACCATCATGATCCACTGTGACTGGTACTGGGGATTACTGGGGTAGTATGATATATGAAGTGATATATGATACAGATGATATCAGATGATTGATGGTTGATCATGTACCTCGACGTGATGTTTCCCAGCAAGTGGCCACACACTAGGCTGATGTGTGGCCAGGAGGCTTTCCAGGAGTGTGGCCTTTCACCAGCTTGAGATGTTCCAAGCGAGTCGGGTTCCGTGGTCGAGAGGAACCATAAAACCCCTGACATGAGGAGATGGAAGTTGAAGGCAAGGTCCTACTGCACGGCGAAGGATATGCTAATGCTTAAAATAGTTTGAAAGCACAAATTGTGTGGAACCTCGACACCCACCTTGTATATAATACATCAAATCGGTCATCGGATGTGTGGATTCTACTTGCAGGTTCATGAAATCATCCGATCTGGGGACCCGTAATTAGAGGGAGCCAAGCCGGGAGCGATCGCCATCGCAGGCTTCGTGAGGAGGAGGCTATTCGCCAACTGGCCCGGGATCTTGGCGCCCTTGGGGAGGTCTACAGCTGTGGTTGACAGCCTTTGAACACTGTCCGCTCCAAGGTTCCAGCGGACTATCCCGGTCAGTGAGTTCCTGATAGGCTTGTTTTGGCCCTTTGGCAAAGTCAGTATTCACCAACACCTGAAGGGGGGAACCAGGGTGAAATTTGAACTTGCAAGAAGTTGCCTGAAGAGGGAAGCTTTACTCCCTTGCTATTCGGACCACATGGTCAAGAAAAAGACACCGGGTGAGTCAGGGCCAAGGCCCATCGATGTGCATTGGGAGCGTTTGCGTTTGTTTGCTTTACAGGCAGAAAACTCATGAAACTTCCTGAACATTCAACGGTATTTGCCAAGAATAGGACATCTCAGGGCTCGATCTTGTGAACATGCTGGAGTTGGAACCAGAGTTTGCTTACATGCTAGCTTGCTCCCACACACCCGATTGTTGAGAGCACGGGCTAGTGGCTAGTGGAGCGCCAACATAATTCAGTGAGATAAAGTGACAAATTCAGACAATCTTTCTCCGATATTTATGTTTTTGTTTGTGTAATTATATATGGTTGGCCGTTGGCCCATTTTTTTAATCCATTGGTCACAGCAGTGTGCCTCCTTATCCTCCAGCTGATGGAAGCGATGGCAGGCACAACAAATCCCTGGCCGAGCGAGGGAGTTTCCTCCTTTAGAGTTGCTTGGTCAGATTGGATTGTTCCTTGGTGACGTGCCTTTGCTTCACATGACTTGGACTTTTCTCAGCACCTAGACTAGATGGTGAAAGACTTCCATCAGACGGGATCAATTCGATGAGACGTAACCAGTCTATATAGTGCTTGATATCCACAGGCATCGTGATCCTGATCTAGCAGCTTGGACCCCCATCTCCAGAATCAATCCAGTATTGGCCCGTCAAGCCACTCTTAACCAGACCTAGTTTGACCTTTGCATTCTCCACCAAATCCACAGGCTTGAGAAGTTGCTTGATAGAAACTGTTCAAGGAAAGATGTCTTGGGCTGGGTCTTAGGTCAGCAAGATGATTTGATTCTGCCTTGTTTCTTGCTTGGCAACTTGTTGCAGCGCCCATGGCCAGGATCCCTCATGGGATCCTACTTTACCAACCTCTTTGTGATGTGCAAATCCACCAAACATCTTTGGTCTGTGGTGCGCCTCTCAAAACCTGTGCCCAACTGGTCACGGAGGTTATCCCAAGCCCTGCATGCACTCATCAAGCTCGATGTTGCTGCAGCCTCGGGAAGCTGAGACATGTTCAGA